TGTGACTTTGCTGGGGCTGTGCTTTGGGTTATTAAACCCCAAAGGTAGGCTATCTCAGTTTGCTGCTGTGGCCATAAAGCCTGCCTTCTGCCATGCTTCCCAGCCCCGATGGTGATGGCTTCTTATCCCTTTGGAATCCGAAGTCCAAATAAACCCTTCCCTCTGTAGGTTGTTTCGGTCATGGCGTTTTTGTCAAAGCAGTAGAAAAGTGACTGATGCAGCCATGCTGTGAACTCTGCACCTGCTCTTTGCCGACTCCCCTGCCATTTCCTCTCTTAGAATATGATCCCCGTAGTACAATGCTGTTCTGGTTAAGATAAAACCTGCACTGCTCTCACTCCTGAGGAACTGTGTGTGTACTAAGGAGACAGACAGACAAACAGTTATGTTCAACTTCGTGCCTTCCACCACACTGCTGGAAAGACAAATGCAGCCGTCTGGGGAGAGGGAGGGAATGGAGGCATGTGCAAGGCTGGCCCCTCTGATCGGGGGACATCTGACTGGGCGCCCCTCCTTTTCAATCCTCTTCTCCCCTCAGCACTTACTGCCACCTAATTTTTGTTTTGTTTTGTTTTTTGCTTTTTCCATCATCAATTATGAGAGCAGGAGTTTGCCCTGCTAGTGTTCAGCCTTGCATCCCTAGGGAGTGGTCCAGCCTAGTGCAGAGTGAACTGGATGAGTGATGGATGGAGCTATTAAGTGGGAGCCCCGGGAGCAACTCCCCATGGAGTGGATAATGCCCGTGAGATGACAGTGGTGAGGACCATGTATTTTGGTGTCTGTAGCCTTGTGTGCTTTTGGAAATATCCAGTGACATCACATTGGCAGAGCAACACAGTGACCTTTCGGATCTATTTTCTGGAGCAATTTAGGAATAGTGATTCTTTGGTAAAGAAAAATTTGGAGGCGGGGGCAGGGCATTGATATGTTGTCCTGGCTAGCATTGAACTTCTGACTTCAGCTTTCCAAGTGATTATGTCTTGTGCTGGTACACAATTTGTATAGCATTGAGAAAATGAACAGTGCAGGCATGGCTGGCTACTGGATAATCTAATCTAAAAAGTCTCCCTGGGGCATGAGTCCCTGAATTTGTTTCAAAGAGAAGTTAGAGATTACTAAGTATAAAGCATTGAAAGTCTGTTGGTGCATGATATAGTTTTTGTTTAGTCCTTTTGTAGAATTGCATCAGACAGGAATTGATTCTATCTAGAAGACAAAGGATGGTCTTGCTGCAGGAAAATAAAACCAAGCAGGGTTTCAGGAGCATTAAAAAATACCAACTCTCCCTGATTCTGGTTTCTAATACCATTTTTCAATAGAAAAAAAAAAGGGCCAGCATTGTATGGAGAAATGGCTGGTACTAGGGCTGAGGTAGGGAATTTATTAGTTGAGCTTGGAGCATTTGTGGTACCATAAAGTCAGGAAGTGATCAACAAACAAACAATAAAAACCCAACCTTGAGTATATACGAGAGAGATACAGGAATCAACCCCAAAAGCTCCCAGTGGTCAAAGCTGGAACAATTCAAGCAACATATTTCTTTAATGTAGCATTAGATCATAAACCAAAGCATAAAACAATCATTGATGGCATGTGCTAGTCAGGGAAAGGAGACAGATCTCCCCCACAGAAGGGATCCAAAGAATTTATGCAGCTCTTTTGTCATGAGGGAGCATAACTCTTCTCAGATGTGGTCTGCACGCATGGCTTACCTGAAAAGTGCATGTATGAGGTGTCAGGGAAAAAGTACAGTAACTAAATGGCAAGGGACCTGCTGGTCACCATTTCAGGTGACCTGGTCAGTTTCCACCATGATGAGTCACGTTAGTAGTATGTACCCTTGATAAGGTGTGGTGAAATTGGTTCTTTGTCTATGTGGTCTTTCTCGCCCAAAGCCAGAGCCCTGGTATGTTCACAAGAGCCCCAAACTATGCTCCATCTGAGAACAACCTATAGCACACTTTTCTCCAGGACCTCCAAAGTGCACTCATTAAAATGAGAACATGCTGTAGGATTCACGATAGACAAGAAGAGTCTAAGGGGATGAGATGGCCACACACAGAGTCATACCCTAGATGGGCTATTGGTACAGGGAAAGGACGTGGAATAGGCTAAGGGAAGCATCTGAATGATTGGTTCTGAGTGTTGACTTCAGCTCGTAATAGTGTATCCATGCATGTTCACTTTCTATGGCAAATGACCAAGCTAACGTAAGAGCGTGACTGCAGGGGAAACTGGGCACGGGACAGATGGGAACTCTGTCCTCCTTAGCAATAGTTCTAAAGCCAGTCTGAGAGAGGAATCATGTTAAATGCCTACTAGGCTATTACCCCTTTGGGGGGGGCAGCAGAATGCCAAGACACGTGCTAATATGTGTCCTCCCATTTAAGTGCTAACCAGACCCGACCCTGTTTAGCTCTTGTGATGAGAGTTGACGTATTTGGTGTGGTGTGATCACAGAGAATGGCGATGATTGTTTTTATGGATGGAGGTTGGAAGATGGCTTAAAGATCGATCAAAACTCTCTGCATAGGTATTTTCTTGCCAAGGTCAACTGGTGACTTTTCTAAATAATGCAAAGCTCATTCAAAGTACCGTTGTTCCACATGGCAACTGAAAACATTGTCTTGGTTCAAGTCCAGCCCTGGGACGTACTAGCCATGGGGATTTTATACACCTGGATGTTCTCAGCCCCTCAGCTTCTCCTCTGTAAGTGAGCATCCTGACATGTTGTGCCGCTGACATCCTGAAGGGTAAACAGAGCGTGAGTCTGCATGCAAGGTGCTGAGCATAGTACTTGGCTCTCACTAGCTGCTCCCTAGATGGTGGCATTTGCTGCTGCTGAGAACTTTTCCCTTTTTAACATGTGAAAGCATTTCGTGGACACCGACCTCAGAGTCTGCTTTCGGTGGCGGGCAGTGCCATAGGTATTAGATTTCAAGGCTGCCAGGACATTCTTCTCCTCGGTCATACGTGTTCTTGACATCTCCAGTGTCACATATAAAGATGGAGTGTGTTAAATAATGGTGTTTCAGCCGGGTGGTGGTGGCGCACGCCTTTAATCCCAGCACTTGGGAGGCAGAGGCAGGCGGATCTCTGTGAGTTCGAGGCCAGGCTGGACCGACAGCCTCCAAAACAATACAGAGAAACCCTGTCTTGAAAAACCAATAATAATAATAATAATAATAATAATAATAATAATAATAATAATAATAATAATGGTGTTTCAGATTACCGTCTCTCTCTCTCTCTCTCTCTCTCTCTCTCTCTCTCTCTCTCTCTCTCTCTCTCTCTCTCTCTCTCTCTCTCTCTCTCTCTCTGGCTGCTCATGTCTCCAGGGAAAGAAACGTGGTGTGGAGGAATTTTTAAGGTCTGTTGTAGAGCAGAGCAGGGGTTTGGGGAGCAGAAAGGAGTTCAAAGAGAGGATGAACACAAGCTGTTTGCATTCCTAAGCCCCCAGGATCTACCTAGGGCCAACTCCCATTGCCTTACGTAAGAAAGTTCATCTTTTGACTCCTGCTTATCTAAGTTGCCATGCATTTTGGATTTACTCAGACAAATGAAATATGAGTCCAATCATTTTTATAGATTTACATGTTAAAGATGAATCCTTACCCAAGCAGCTAGATCTGTGGAACTTGACTTTTATGAAGTGGGTTACCAGAAAACTCACAGAGACTTTTATAACGCTGAACTTTTTAATTGCCCCTCTCCTGCCTCCAATAATTACTGCGTTGGTATTATTTATCCTACTTAAAAAAACAAAAAACAAGCATTTCTACTTTCAGCCTGTGTTTCAACTAAGTAAACTCCTTGGCTCATCTCCTTTCCGATCTACGTTTTCCGAGTCTTTCTCTTCAATTGCAGGATTGCCCCACCAGTTACAGTTACTTGAGTCCAGGTTTTATTTTTCAGGCTATGCGTTCGTGTGTTCCAGGTTTTTATTTTTCAGGCTATGCGTTCGTGTGTGTGTGTGTGTGTGTGTGTGTGTGTGTGTGTGTACACATGTGGATGTGGTTTCTGAAGTCAGAGAAGCAGGTCAGGAGTCTCAGTCTATCAATTCCCACCTTATTCCCTGAGACAGAGTCTCCCACTGACCCTGGAGCTGGGCTGGCCATCAGCAAACCCAGTGATACCCAGCTCTGCCCCACCATCAGCGCCTGGCTTTTCAGAAGGGCTCTGGGGACTTGAATTTAGGTTCTCATGGATGGTAAGTGTCCTTACCCAGTGAGTCATCTCCCCAGTCTTGAGTATAAGTACTAATAAGTGCTAAGTAAGAAACAGATTGCTTGTAAGCAGATAAGCACTTAAAAACACACCAAGGTAAGAAGGATTTTGCTGATGAGCATTGAGTCTTTGAGAGTGGGCTGCGGTGTGGCTCATCTCCAAGCTCCCTCCTGTGATCCTGTCTCCTCACCCTAGCTCTGGAGCCTGGTGCAGAGGGATTAGCGTCCTGTTAGTTACTTTTCTACTCACCGGTGACAAAATTACCCGATGGGCAAAACCTAAGGGAGGAAGGGTTTCTGATCATGGTTTCTGAAGGATTTCGGGTCTTCCTGATATGAAGGCACATGGAGAGGTCCTGTGTGCATGGGAGCATCAGGGTTCAGCAGGTTCATATTGTGGCAGGTCAGAATGCAGAATGTCCAGGTTGGATCCTGGGCTGGGAATAACTTTCAAAGGCCAGCTGCTAATGCTCCCCAGGCCCCGATTCCTAAAGGCTCCATAAGCTTCACGATAGCTCCGCAAAGCTGGGGACCAAGGTAGCTGGGAACACCCAGGAGACAGGCAATAAAAGGAACATCCTTGAAAAACCCCCTTCTCTCTTACTTTCCAGCCCTTTTCCACAGACCACACTCCTTTTTTTCCCTGTGTCCGCCACTGTCTGCAGAAAAAAAAAACTTACCCACTATTAAAATGTTCCACCGTGTAGCCTCTCATGCCTGTTGTATATATTTGTGCTTTTTATACATTAAAAAAATAGAGAGGCTGAAACTCTGTAGAATTCTGGGTTTTATTTTCATCCTGTAATCTCCTGTATCGGCACCAAGTTATTAGTGAGCTGCCAATCACCTTTGCAAATTAAAGGGGCAGACGTAAATTGCAACTGAACCCAGAGGTAGAGCAAACCACATCGAATGATCACGCGGAGAAACAAAATCCAATTTGGATGCCGTAATTGCTTTCTTTTAGCAGCCCCACTATGTGGACTCATCCTAATGGGGAGACTCCAAAGGTGAATGCGCTTGCTGAAGATGCTTCCCCCAAACCCCATCGTCACAGAGTTTTCATCCTAATGGGGCGACTCCAAAGGTGAATGCGCTTGCTGAAGACGCTTCCCCCACCTCCACATCGTCACAGTGCTTCCTGGCACCCAGGACGCAGCGGTGGATCTCATTTCCACAGCATCCGTTATCATCACTGCTGTTGAAAAGTGGGCGTGGTGAAGCGAGGGGAACCTGGTTTTCCTGAGAAGGCACAGCAACACAAAAGGTCGTCTGTAACTCCAGCCTAGGTGGCGCAGAGTCTTTGTAAACATTGTTGAAGAGATGGCAAACTTTAGGCAGATACCCCGCGAGGCAGATACCCCCGTGAGGCAGTGACCCCCGCGATGCAGTGACCCCCGCGAGGCAGATACCCCCGCGAGGCAGATACCCCCGTGAGGCAGTGACCCCCGCGATGCAGTGACCCCCGCGAGGCAGATACCCCCGTGAGGCAGTGACCCCCGTGAGGCAGTGACCCCGCAAGGCAGATACCCCGCGAGGCAGGTACCCCCGCGAGGGACCCCCATGAGACAGTGACCCCCGTGAGGCAGTGACCCCCGCGATGCAGTGACCCCCGCGAGGGACCCCCATGAGACAGTGACCCCCGTGAGGGACCCCCATGAGACAGTGACCCCCGTGAGGGACCCCCATGAGACAGTGACCCCCATGAGACAGTGACCCCCGCGATGCAGTGACCCCCGCGAGGGACCCCCATGAGACAGTGACCCCCGTGAGGCAGTGACCCCCGTGATGCAGTGACCCCCGCGAGGCAGATACCCCCGTGAGGCAGTGACCCCCGTGAGGCAGTGACCCCCGCGAGGCAGTGACCCCCGCGATGCAGTGACCCCCGTGAGGCAGTGACCCCGCAAGGCAGATACCCCCGTGAGGCAGTGACCCCCGCGATGCAGTGACCCCCGCGAGGGACCCCCATGAGGCAGTGACCCCCGTGAGGCAGATACCCCCGTGAGGCAGTGACCCCCGTGAGGCAGTGACCCCCTCGAGGCAGTGACCCCTGCGAGGCAGGTACCCCTGTGGCACTTTGGCTTCTTTGACATAGTTAGTCTGCCCCTGTGGTGCAGTTAGCCTCCGTGATGTAGTTAAGTCACCCCTGTGGTGCAGTTACCCCTATGGCCCCGTTACCTGGGTGGTAAAGTTGCCCTGGTGGCCCAGTTTCTTCTGCGACCCAGTTTCATCTGTGGAGCTTTTTGTGATGGAGCCGCCCTTCCCTCCCCTCCCCCGGCCCCCATGTGGTGCAGTTTGAACCCTCCCAAAGCAAAAACGGTCACTCAACGTCAACTCTCCATCCTCTGATTTGAGGACATCGTTTTTGCGCACGCCCCCGAAAGTGGTGTTTATCAAAAGACACAAACCGTAGCACCAGCAATAAACTCGTTGGAAGCATTCAGCCCATTTCCCATTGTTTTGCTACCTCCGCATAAACCAGCAGATGTGTTTATTGTTGCAAAGTGTAAACACTCTGTGCATGTGATGCCTATAAATCATCGGTTACCTGTCATTTTTTTTTCTCTCTACTGCCTGTCAAAATATTAACATCTTGGGTGTGAGAAGGTGCCAATGTTTAGCCCTGTGGCTAGGCTACAGGACACCAAGCAGCACTGTACAGAAATGACAGAGCCAGCGGGGCCGAGGCTCTGAGACGACACTTGGCTTGGAGTCTAGTTAAGACCTTTCAAGGCTTCTTGAATAGCAGGGGAATTTCTGAGGTAGAACTTTGGAGAGTCTTTGCATTTTCTATCACGGAAAACTGGGGAAATGAAAGAGAAAAGTCAGTTGTTTACGGAGTAGTCAAATGCCAAGGCATTCCCTCCATGCTTTTTACCCAGTGAAGGTCATACCCCCCGGAAGAGCTGCTCAGAAGGAAGGGCCAACTTGAATTTGGGGCAAATTAATGGTTTCTCGTGTTAGTCATCATTGACGCAGGTAGGGCTCCAAATTAGTTAGACTACAGTGTCCACCATCAGATCTCTGACAGTGAAATCTGGCGATGCTTTTGAAATAATAAGGCTTCAAGATGCCACCTGGGGACTCGGTGATGCGTCATTAACTATTAGTTCCTGTAATCACCCCCACAAACGGTACCTGTAGCATCTTTTCTGGGGGCAGGATTGAAGTTTGCAGGATAGGCAATGTGCTCTTATAAACAACTTGGGCCAGCAGGATGGCTCAGTGGGTAAAGGTGCTTGCTGCTAAGACTTGATGACCTGAGTTCAGGTTCAGGGACCTATGTGATAGACTGTGAGAATTGGCTCCCAGGGGCTGCTGCTGTATGAGCCTCACATACTCTGGGGCTGGTGCAAAACTGCCTGTCCTACATACACAGCTCATGAATAAATGTAATAAAAGGTAAATTAGAAAGATCTTAACTTCTAACTCAAGACTATAAAACATCCCTCACTTTAGCATTTATGCCAGTATTCCCTGGGTGGTCTAAGATGTTAAAAGGGGCTTTTTGAAAAAGAAAGTTTGCAATATGTAAACCGTAAGGACGGGAGAGAAATAATTGGCTGCTGGGTTTCCTTCTTTCTGCTTAAGTGAAAATGAAATTTTGGGCAGGAGCCACAGAATGGTTTGGCAGGTCTTGTTGGTTGATCGTTGTGGGCGGGGGGGGGGGCAGTGACCCTGAAGTTTGAGGTGAAAGATCAATGTTGCCAAGTCAGTCTGTTTTGTTCCAACCTGCCCTAGAGAACGGTAATTACCAGATATATTAATGCTTGTCAGAGATGGTTACTGGAACCCTCTGCTGCTTCAGCATAATCGGAACGACAGAAGTTGTGGAGGGTTTGCCTTGGGACAGGCACCCGCCGCTCAGAATGCTAATTGGCTGGCATAGAGGGAGACAGGCTCAGTACCTGAGCAGCCTTCCCATCGGGAAATGGCGAGTGGGTGAGGAGTTGGACTCGCCTGTCTCATGACTCATGGTGTGATTCTCTGAATCGATTCCCCACTGCTGTTGTACAAAGAGGTGAATCCTGAGAAGAGTAGGAGGTGGAAACCCAGAGGACAAGGGGACAGGGATGTCCTTCTGTATATATGTTTCTCTTATTGGTTGATGAATAAAACACTGTTTGGCCAATAGAGGCAGGAAGATAGGCAGGACTAGGAGACTGGAGAATTCTGGGAAAGGTAGGCAGAGAGAGACTGTGAAGAGACGCCCAGTGGAGATCAGGAAGACAGGATGCACCAGGCGTTCTCTGGTAAGATAAGGCCACGTAGAAATACATAGATTAGCAGTTATGGGTTAATAATTAAGACAGAGCTAGCCAATAAGAAGCCCTAGCTATTGGCCAACAGTTTTGTAACTAATATGGCGTCCGTGTGCTGATTTGGGTCTGAGAAGTGGGGGTAGGACCTGGTGGGTCCAGAAAACTCCAACTACAGGTGGATCTACATAAAAATGCGTTATATAAGTCCCTGGTTGTGAAGGGAGTGAGTCCTTATTATTTTTTAAGATTATATACTTGTGTCTGTATATATGTGGGCATGTACACGTCATGACGTGTGTGGTGGCAGTCAGAGGGCAACTTATGGGAGTCAGTTTTCTCCTATCTTGTTGGTCACGGGGCTAGCACTCAAGCTATCAGGCTTGGCACCAGGTGCCTTTATTGACGACGGAGCTCTCTTTCCCAGTAGAACTCGAAGCCACTGGCAAATGGGCTGTGTAGGTAAGCAGTGGACGTCTTTAGGGTCACCATGCATTTTTGCTCTTGCTCACCATCATACGTGGTTTCTGAGAGAAAGGTAAACACCGACATATGACGTCTCAGTGACGGGCTCGGGGCTGACGGCTTCTGCCTGGCAGGTGCCCCTGAAAACACTTCCCGTCGTGAACGTGTTAGTGAAGAGAACAGCTGTCGTGGTGGGGCTGGGCACTCTGTTCAGGGCCTTCTTTGGCTTCTAGAGTCTGCCGTTCCATACTCTCTGGGGACAAAGGCCTTTGGAGACGTTTGGCCGGAAGACGTGTCCTGCTGCGCACCTCCAGCAGGTGGGATTTCAGGAGACCTGAGGCGGTCATTTTCCATGCAGAGTGCGTGGATGGCTTTGTACGGTGGCTTGGGACTCGCATGCTACCTCCCGTGGCTATTTGTCACACAGGGAAAGCAGGGGGAACTCCACTAGTTATGGCAGGGCGTGCCAACCACAGTGAGCCGCCAGAGTAGGGTGACGAGAGTTTGGGTTTGAGGGCCATCGTGCACTGAGTTTCAAATGCCAAGCGTGTGCTGGTGACGACGGGTTGACGACTTTCAGTGGTTGTTTCCTGTTTGAGCTCGGACAACTCATTTCTCTTTCCTCAGCCTCTCATGTAAAATTTGAGAAGAGGGTTGCTGTGAGGTTTAAGCAGAGAAATACATAAAGGCTTTAGTTCGGGTTACAAGAATCTCAAGCCCGCTCCCCATTTCATAAGCCTAGCCGCGTACAGGCCTCATGGTCACTGGGACTGTGCCTCAAATGATGACATTTATGTAAGAGCGTGGTGAGGGGCTGCCGCATGCTTCCAAATTATTTTCAGATTTTTTTCTTTGCCTTTTCTTAATCATTGACAGCCTGGTCTTAAAGTTGCCAACTCCTTTCCACATGGAGACTCGGAGAAAAAAAACACCTCGGGCTTGCAAATCATTTGTGTCTTTTTCATTGTCACTCAAATGGAGACATTTTTCCTTTGGTGTTTTTGGTTTTCAGCATGGGGTGTGTGTGTGTATGTGTGTGTGTGAGTGTGTGTGTGTGTGTGCACATGCATGTTTAGGCATATATGTGTGGGCACATTTGTGTGTTTTCCTGAAATGTTGCTCATGCATGTTTGACATTGAATTTCGGAGTCTTTCTGGACTGTTCCCTACCTCATACTTTGAGGCAGGGTTTCCCAAAGGCCCAGAGCTTGAGAGCATGACTAGATGTAGGACTGGATGCTAAGCTACATGTAGAACTAGAATAGATGCTTTGCTCTCAGTTGTGTGTGTGTGTGTGTGTGTGTGTGTGTGTGTGTGTATGTATGTATGTATGTATGTGAAAGGTTCAGTCATTACGCTGGCTTGCCCTGTTACCTGGCAGGATGCACTCAGGCAGCACTCTGTCCAGCCCAGAGTTCTGTGAGAACCACACAGGTGCAAAGGACCCTTTAAAGGACTGAGCCCCGCCCGCATATGCTCTCTCTCTCTCTCTCTCTCTCTCTCTCTCTCTCTCTCTCTCTCTCTCTCTCTCTCTCTCTCTCTCTCTCTCTCTCTCTTTCTCTAAGCTCTGCACGGGTTGGTTACCTCTCACCCCCCCTTTCCCTCCCTGTCCACCAATAAAACTCCACGTGGGATCGTTGAGTCATGGTTTGTGTCTCGTTACTGGATAAACCCAGACATTTTAACAACATTGGTTCCCTGACCGGGAACCTAGACATTTTAACAACAGTATGTATGTATGTATGTATGTATGTATGTATGTATGTATGTATGTTTATGCTGTGCATGTGTGTTGGTGCACATATATGTGCACACGCATGTACATGTGTGTATGAGAGAGAGGAGGGGGAGGCCTTAGGTTGGACATCAGGAGTTCGCCGTGGTTACACCCAGCTATATCCATTTAGACAGGGTCTCTGAGATGAACTCACAGCTCACAGATATGGCTCACTCTGGGGATCCTTGCCTCTGTCTTCTGAGCTCTGGAATTAATCAAGGGGATTTTCTACACCCACATGGCACATACACAGGTTCTGGGTTTCTGAACTCCTGTCTTCAAGCCTGTGGGGCAGATGTTGTAACTGGTGGGCCATTTTTCCAGTTCCAAGAATGGACATTTTAAACTAAAGCTACCACATGACAACTCACGACAGGAAATCTCTATCAATACGCCTAATTGCTTTGGAATTTAAATTGTAATTTTTTTGTTTAAATTCATGTGTATCTGCATCCCTTGCTCACTAGACCATCAGCTTAATGCAGGGCTATCTTCTCTGGCCTGTTTTAATTGATTTCCTGCAGCTACGGTTTGAATACCAAGTGCCCCTCCAAGGGCGTCACATGCTGAGGACTTGGTCTCTGCTCATAGAGCTGTCAATAAGTGATTGGACCGTGAGCATCCTAACCTCATCTTCGGGCTCCTAGCTGACTGTGCTATCAGGGGTTGGGCCCTTGCTGCAGCAATCAGGCCCCAGAAGCTATGACTCTGAAGGGTGGTTCTTTTGCAAGACACTGCACCTCTGGCTCCTCTTTCCCTGTTTTCTGGCAGATGTGGGATGA